ATACAGTTATGTGTATAGATGTGCACAATTCTATATACGATTTTATNAAACTTTTAAATATTTATGCATTTAGATTTATAAGTTAATATGTACGAAGAAAAAGTAGAGTTATTTCTTTATCTTTTATAATATAATATCAGAATTAGAGTAAACTTACTCGTAAATGACAAGTATAAATTTTTGAAAATAAATATCATTATTTTTGTATTTGTAATAGACTTTTTTACTTTTGTGATCACATTTCTGCCTCCGAGTACTGAAAAGTCCCAAGTTAGTTTATATGCTACTGAGTATATCAAAATATCCAGATAATACGGATATTCGAATAACTCGTGCATTCGAATAACTATTTGTACTATTCGCTGCACGAAGTATCCGGATATTCGAATACTATCCGTTGATCGAAGTTTATTTGTACATATATATTATATGTATATACAGGATGTCCGGAAAATCGCGACGAATATTTTAAGACGTGATTTGGGACCCCAAAAGAAGGAAAAAAGCTATATAAACATAGGTCCGGAAATAAGTCGTTTCCGAGTTATAGCCACTTTTATGTAAAAAAAAATGTATTTTATATTCCGCGTGGCATTCTTTTTTAAATTTTTTATTAAATTCCTAATTTTTTTAATTTTCAAATTTTATTATTTTTTTAAATTAATAATTATTTTTTTTATTTTTTTTTATCTTTTGATATTTGTAAATACATTATTTTTTAAATCAAGGATAAACATAAATAGGTATTTAAATCAAATTAAATAAAGTGTTAAAAATGACCACCTTCAGCACGAATGCCCGGTAGCGCGTAGTGGGGCAGGCCTTCGAGCTCGGGTTCAAGCAATTGTTTACAAAAATGCGCCCAATAATATTGCTGACTTAAGACAAAAATTAATTCGTGGTTCCGAGAAATAAGGACGGATCTAAATGTTTGTCATAGAGTTCGAAATTCCTTTGATAGAAGAATAAGGGCCTGCATTCGTGCTGAAGGTGGTCATTTTGTGAACACCTTATTTAATTCGATTTAAATACCTATTCATGCTTATCCTTGATTTACAAAATAATGTATTTACAAATATCGAAAAATAAAAAAAAATCAACAGGAATCAAATAAGGCCGATACGAGCCATTCGCAGGATGTTTGTGCGGAAACTATGCGTGTACATATATATAAGAATTGAGATTTCAATTCAAAAAGTACTTGTCAAAATTTACAAGTAGAATTCGTTATATTTATATATATATATGTACACGCATAGTTTCCGCACAAACATCCTGCGAATGGCTCGTATCGGCCTTATTTGATTCCTGTTAACAATTTTACGAGCGTTAAGTCTTTTTAATTACGCTGGCTGAAAATTAGCGTTAACAACATTATCAGACCATCTTCGATATATGTATGAGTATTGCGAGACTAACTCCAAGTGCCTCGGTGGCCTAACAGGGAAGGCGATGGCACGGAAAGCCGGAGATTCCAGGTTCGACTTCTGGCCGAGGAGTTTTTTTCGCAATATTTTAAAATTAGTTAGGGGGGTATCCGGGGTTTTCCATATGTGAGATGCAAATCTAGCATCNCGTATGATTTTAAGAATTGAGATTTCAATTCAAAAAATACTTGTAAAAATTTACAAGTAGAATTCGTTACATTTATATATACAGGGTGTCCCAGAATTGGTTTAACATCTCTCGTACGCAGGTAGAAGGAATAAAACTGAAGTGAAAAGTCCTATGCCATTTTGCTAGATTCGCAATAGTTACCGAGATTTTAAGTAACAAAAATCCGCGAATAAGCGTGCATCAGGCTGTCTTACGCGCGTAGGACAGCCTGGCGCGCTTTACACAATTACATTTTAATATGTATATGTATTGTATATGCTGTTATATTAGCTCCTCCCATATGCTCCTACGGGTAACACCGTAAGCGCGCGAAGCGCACTGGGCTGTCTTAAGCGAGTAAGACAGCTCAATGCATGCTTATTCGCTGATCTTTGTTAATTAAGATCTCGGTAACTATTGCGAATCTAGCAAAATGGTATAAAACTTTTCACCTCAGTTTTATTCCTTCTACCTGCCTACAAGAGATGTTAAACCAATTCTGGGACACCCTGTATATATGTACACGCATAGTTTCCGCACAAACATCCTGCGAATAGCTCGTATCGGCCTTATTTGATTCCTGTTAACAATTTCACGAGCGTTAAGTCTTTTTTAAAAAAAATTAGTAATTAAAAAAAATAATAAAATTTTAAAATAAAAAAATTAGGAATTTAATAAAAAATTTAAAAAAGGATGCCACACGGAATAAAAAATACATTTTTTTTTTACATAAAAGTGGCTATTACTCGGAAACGACTTATTTCCGGACCTATGTTTATATAGCTTTTTTTCCTTCTTTTAAGGTCCTAAATCACGTCCCGAAATATTCGTCGCGATTTTCCGGACACCCTGTATATATATATAATAATAATAAAATATATATATATATAATAATAAAATATATATATATATATTTTTTTTTTACGAGTTATATGTGTCTCTGCAAAGTATGTATTGCCATATATAATGTTTACATATGTAGGCATACAGCATAATAAAAAGGTGTTAATTTTCTTGATAAAAAATTTATTTGCTTTCCAAACATTTATTGTTTGCAGTGATTCTGTAGACTGTTTTCTTTTTTTTTGGAGAACCGGTTTTTTCTTTATGCAGTAACTTTTTCACAATTTCTGAGTCTGCATTTGTACTAGTTTGTTCAGCATCCTCTTAAATTCGACTAACAGTGTGATTCGGGTAATATATTATATCCGAATAATCGGATATAATATATATGTATATGTGTGTGTATATGTATATATATATGTATATATAATATATATATTACCCGAATCACACTGTTATTCGAATTTAAGAAGATGCTGAACCGTCCTATTTTATCAATAAACTAGTACAAATGCAGACTCAGAAATTGTGAAAAAGTTACTGCATAAAAAAAAACGGTTCTTCAAAAAAAAAGAAAACAGTCTACAGAATCACTGCAAACAATAAATGTTTGGAAAGCAAATAAATTTTTTATCAAGAAAATTAACACCTTTTTATTATGCTGTATGCCTACGTATTTAAACATTATATATGACAATACACACCTTGCAGGGACAGATATACCTCGTAAAAATATAACGAGATTATAAAAACATGCAATCAAAGTCCAAAATAAAAGAAAGTCCTGGAACTGTAATTGAGAAACACAAGAGTTAGATTTCCTGTCAAAACACTATGTACAAAGTACTACGTAGTTCCAAAATTTTGCACCAGAGACGATGCTGCGTACAACAAAACGACTGCTTTGTAACAGTCGAACGTGATTGATTCTTACTTTTAGATCCAACATATCACATCAAGTTTAGACAATTACAACTCTAGAAATGTTTTTTATTGTAGGCTTCAAAATAGTTCTTTTACGATCTCATAATATTCTTACAGATTCTTATAATAATAAGAGCAGTTATGAGCCACTTAGAGCATGCTACAGCGGTGGGAGGGATGCGCACAAAGCAGCGAGCAAGTGTAGTGCACATCTTTTTGTAAGATACGAAGAAATCAGAACTTTTGTCCACTGTAGGCTTTAAAATTGATCTGGTATGGTCTCATAATATTCTTACAGGTTATATCTATCCCTGTAAAGTGTCTTTTTGTATATATATCACATTATGTAGTATATATAAATCCAAATCTGGAAACATATATGTGTACCTGTATGCGACACGGACAAACCTATAATAGCCGCGTTCAACATGCGTATGCAGTTATAGGCCACTTACAGCAGCGATGGAAGGGATGCGCACAAAGCAGCGAGCAAGTGTAGTGCGCATCTCTTTGTAGGATAAGAAGAAATTAGAACTTTTTTCTACTATAGGCTTTGACATTGATTTTTTATGGTCTTATAATATTCTTACAGGTT